AACCCTAACCCTAACCCTAACCCTAACCCTAACCCTAACCCTAAACCCTAACCCTAACCCTACTCCTACTCCTGGAATAGTTAATAGCTAGACTGGTGCATATCCACAGCGGGCAATGGATCATCACTATAGATAGATGATGTGGGGGGCAATGATTAGGGTGATAATTAGGGTGGGATGGCACCATCACTATTATACTCCTTATTAATATCCCCTAATATATTATCTGCACTAGCTAATACCTATTTAGCACTCTAATCCTTCTTCTCTTATATCTAGATAATCTGCTATAGGTTAGGATCCATCTATAATGCCTTCTGGACCACCATAAACCACATGATCTTAATGACCTAGGATAATATAGGTAGATAACTCTTAGGGTCCTACTAGCTAGCTTCTCCCTATCCTAATACCACTATGGCGCATACCAATGCACTCTTATATTTATAGCTATAATAGTGCTGGTTTAGTAACTTAATATAAAACTCTAAATATATCTTTTTAATATTAGTTATGGCCCATGCCTCCTGCTGTAGGTCATCTATCTTAAGTTCTATAGGATTAGGGCTAGGCTGGGCCTGGCCTACTAGCTACCATAACTACTACTATTTCTTGCGCTGCTAGGCAGTCATCCTATATTTTAGGCTGGTCTAGTCAGGTAGGGCCTGTGTGTAGGTAATGAATACTAATATCTGCTACCATAGATGGATATACTTCTGGATCACAGCCTCATCTATATATACTAATAATAGCTAGTGCAGGATCTGCCCCTTTTTAGACTAGATAGCCTCTACCTAGATAGCCTGGCTGCATTACTAGACTATCTACTAGCTCCTGCAGGTGATCTGCTCTATGGTAGCCCAGATGACCTATATCCACTACTCAGTGGTATCCTAGGGATCTTTCTTAAGTATCTCTATATACTTAAGTAAGTTCCTCTTACTAATACCCTATAGGTAATCCACCTACCCAGTCATCTATAGCTATGGGTTGGCATTAGTGATCTCACTAGCCTGGATAGTCTACTAGGCTTTTGCCTAGGCCTAGGCCTACTCCTATACCTACAGCACCACATCCACTGCTACCTGGGTATGGTAGGCAGGGGTGGGGCTGGATTACTTACTAGATTACTTAGGGAATTAAATCTAAATATAATAGGATCCTAGCCTGCTGGGAAACACCTGCTACTATAAAATATATTAAAATAATCACTAGAGCTTGGTAGTACTCTAGATTTAATCTTAGTGCCTAACCTAACTATGCTATCTCTACTAGGTCTATTAATGCTTAGTCTACCAGTGTTATTATATGGTTTTCATGCAGCTAACTATATACTAGTACTAGGGGTAATCCTGCTAGCATAATAAGCTATTAGCTTCACATGGTAAAATAGGCAGTGGATTATTTAATACTAATAGGATAGTAATAATATTGGAATCCTGCTTAATATCCTCCCACCCCTGAATAGCATTTATAATTACGGCGGCATTGGCCTACTTTATCTAATACTTAGACTATAAATGCCATATGACCTCTTAGGGTTAGACCCCATGCTGACATTATTAATAAATAATAATTTTCAAGGTACTAACTCTTTCAAATACTTAATGCTCTATATTAATGGAATTATCCAGATAGGGGATTAAATAAGCTAGATCTGCTGAATGGGTCAGCTAATCCATCTACAACCCCCTGACTAGAGCTAATGGTTTAGGACCTGTTATATTTAATAGCACAACATCTCCATGATCCCCTAGTAAATATATTACAGACTATTATAAACTTCTTCATCATGTAGCACCCTTTCTATATGGAATTTTCATCTCTGGAGCAACTAGGTTATATAGTTAAAGCTGCTGAATAACATATCTTATTTACAGCTTAATTAAGCTTGACATGTGAATTACATTGGGGGTGACTGTGTTTAAATCCAGTGAGCATCAGACCCACCTACTGCTGGCTAATCAGCAGCAATACCCTAAATCTAGTGAGCCCTCAAAGCTCCGCCCCCTGTGGGATAGTCTATAAGAGACTATAAATATATAAGGGCACTATGGACCTTAGGTAAATAGTCTATAATAGGACCTTATAATAACCTTAAGGTATAGATTAAAATAAAGGAATTATATAAAGATACTTATTATTATTATATCTAGTACTCTTAGTTTTAGTTCCTTATATTTAATATAAGTAACTTACTTAAGTATAAGTTTACTAGTCTAATTTATTAAATACTCTTTTATTATTAAGAATATATTCTTAATAGGCCTTACTTCTATCTCTACTATTATTATTCTTATTATCCTTAGTCCTAGATAGGATTATTATACCTTTAGATTATATTAGATCTTAATTAGGTCATTATATCACATGTCACTATATACCTAGATTAGTATATAGTAGGCTACCACAGAGGGTAGGCCTCAGGCAAGTATCAGGATATAGTCTAGGGACTATATCACCCTATTCCTAAAGTAGTTGACTAGCAGAGAACAGCAGAGATGGATCCCAGGGTGTGACACCTTCTTATTCACCTAATTTAAACCTAATTAAACACCTATAGAACCTCTTAAAGAAGAAGCTTTTAGAACTCTATCCTGAGCTCTTTCTAGGAGGCAGATTAAGGGTTAATTAGAGGTGATTTAGATATACTATCTATAAGGCATGGAATGCTATCCCATAGGAGGTAATTAACTATCTTATATGCTTAATGCTGTGTAGATTGCATGCAGTATACCAGGTAAGGGGCTAGTACACTAAATATTGATATCTACTATCCTATGGTTTATTATTTTATCCTGTAATCATATGGTGGTTGAGAAATATGGGATTGAAGATGGTTGATTTTTTCGAAAAAGTCGAGCGTGCACAGACTTTTGACCTATAATGTAGTAGTAGCATTTCGTGATCATACATTACTGTCATGGGGGCTCTGGCCTAGGTAGGGTCACTACCTCAGGGAGGCTTATAAGCATGTTCTAGGCCTGGTGATTCCATAGGGAATCACCATTGTAACCTTTTTGGTATTGTGGATAGTAGCTGCCTAGAAAACTACCTTTCTTAAAATTACATAAAGTCATAAAGGGTGAAAAGCTAGACAATGCTCAAAGATGGCGGTGAGTGAGGAAATATTTGTGGTCCTTCCTCCAACCGGTATATTTCGTAGTCATGAGATTTCAAAATCTCAGGAATGCTCTCAACAAGGTCACAATATAGCTCCTTAAACTCCTGGGGTAAATCTGACCACGGGACCAGATTCGGTGAGACTTTTGCCGGTAGATCCCTGTCCTTACCATATCTCCACCCGTTTCGCAGTCTCTCAGTAATGAAGCGTTGATGCTCACGGATAGCTAGTTTCTCGACTTCATCATCTTCATTCTCCTGATTCGCCTCCTGGTTATATGTCTTTCTGTTCCTCCTGAATTCAAATCTTCTCTCCTTCCCAGGAACTGTTCTTGAAAAGTAGCATTTGATCAGCCGTAGCTTATATGCTATGTCATCTGCCTGTAAGCGACTCGTCTCCTTGTGTGCAGGGGGGAGATCATGCCATGCCTGGGTCGTTGCCTCCAAACCCCCCTCCACCAGATTTGGTGCTGTCTTTGCTACTTTTTTAATGGCGTCACAATATACTCTGTGGAGTCTGATGGCGAAAACATCACGGAGCGGAGCGAAGTTCGGTCCTGCCTTATCCTCAAATGGTGAAGAGTACATAGGCAGATCCCATTGCAAGCGTGGACCTCTTACCCATTGCAAGAAATTTTGAGGATCGACATGCAAGCTGAGCTGATCATCTGATGGAAGTGATGCACGTTCAAACTTCTCCTTTCCCGACAATCTACTCATGTCCAGTATGGCTTTCATTGAACGAGCGCCATGATGAAACCGAGAAACTCTTAATAATCCAGTCAATACTGCATCATCAATTCCTTTCAAATCATGCTTCCTCAGCAAGTCGTGCAGTAATAGAGCTCGGCGTATTGGATACTTCGAGTCATGTTTCTGGTCGGGGTCGGGATCTGGGCCACGGATATCGACATAGCCACTCAGTCGGCTAACAAAGTCAGGGCACTTAGCGGTAAGACCCTCATTGGAGTGCGCTCTGTCCTTGAATGCTCTAAAAGTTGAGGAAGTGCCTCCAATGAAGACAAAAATTGCTCTGCCAAGAGGGTGAGTTCTGCCATGGTCCAAGAACCTGCCATCATTCATGGGTGTCAAGAAGTATTTCAGCCAGCCTAACTCTCCACCAAAATTGGCATCAAACTCATCAAACATTACGAGGGGTACCTTCCCGGAAAGGGCAGTGTCCCGGACCAACTGGAATGCGACTATCAATTCGGAATATTCTTTGAATTGCGACAGATTAAACTCCAGCGTTGGAGGTGCTTGTTCTTGCAGCACTGCTGTTGTCACTTGTTTCAAAGCATATGACTTGCCAGAACCAGGAGGTCCAAATACGCCAATGCAGAGTGGGGTGGCTCGATGCACTTTCGCTTGTGAGTACTCTTCAATCAGGTTGCTGATCGCACGGTAGCTCTCTATCTCGCTTCTGTCGGCGGTCACCATCGTCCCAAAACGCGCAATCGGGACACGGCTCAGAATTCCGGGTCCATCCTTGACGATACAATGGGCCACTTCGGCCGGATCCCCCGCCATGTCCTCAAGCGCAGTCCAGTTGAGACCTTCAATAACCTTCTCCGTCGGAATTGTAATCCAATTGAAGTCTAGGTCGTTGTCGTCGTCGTTTGGATCCCCACCAGTCATAATGTATTTCCATGGTGGATCGTCTGACAGCTCACGGCCTTTGCTGAGGAACCCCGTTCGGCACAACCGGCGGGAACACTTTAGTCCCTGTAAGATGCCAGCCTCTATACCACTGTCGATCCCAGAGACAGCTGAGAGGTCAGATTTAGCAAGTCCCGAGGCAAATCCAGCAGTAAAAGTTGACATCAATCCAGTCATATCTCCAGCTTCTCCTGTGCAAGCTTTGATAAAATCTCCCTCTGCGTAGGATCCGTTGAAGTAAAGTGTGTCTTTGTTCTTGCCGCGTTGGTGATGGATCACTCCATCACAATCAAAGCAGATGATGAGGTGGGCACAATTGAGAAGAGAGACAAACTCTCCATTGCATGCGAGCTCCCGAACGAAATCCTCGCATGTCTTTTCCCAGGAGAGGTGGCAGCTCAGCTCTATTCCCTCTCGGCGGAGGTCTTCTGCATTGACTATAACAATAAGACGATCAGGGTCTCGTTCCCCACTTTGGCTGTAGGGTCCGGAGCGGACTTTAGCCCATAGGCTTCCTTTCGTCACAGGACGAGCCATTTTATAAATCATAACCTGTGGTCGAGTGTTTTCGAAGAGTTCTTCACCAGGCTGTGTCCTTTCATCCTTGGTGGGTTCATGAAATATTAAGATTTTCGGGGCATTATTGTCTGACTTAGTTACCTCCCTCGGCGAACCCCAGATGGACTGCCCTCTGAGGTGTTCAACCTTCTTCACGACGTAGTGCTGACCATCTTTCGAGCGTCTATTGACACGACTCATTCTGCTAATCGAGCGAACATTCTTGATCTTTCCATCTAGAGAATGCGGGCCCAAAACAGCAGGGTTGAATTGAGCAGAGTCAAGCAGCTGTGTCAGTAGGGATGCGCCGCCTTCTCTCTCGATTATTGCGCAAATGCTTCCCTCCTGCGGGTCATCTTCCGGCAGCATAAACAAGTGAACATACACTTCACCAGCAACAATTATATAATCCTGCTGAGCCTGAATCAATGCAGGCGTACTCTGTTCTGTACTGAGCCTCGAGGAGTTTCCGAATGTACTTGAATTTGATTCCATATTGTTTACTATTATTGGCTAAAGTAGTGCATTCAAAGCCTGATATAAAATACTACCTTAGGAGCGACTTAGGCCCTAGCAGCGAGAACTTATATATCTGCTGTGAAACTGGCAGCAGAGTCGGCAACCCCTCATACTTTTCGGATAAACCGGATGTTGCACGTAATTATTGCGAAAAAATCAGACAACTGTCCGTTTGCGGCATGGAAGTGACGGGGCATAGCTCCTCTCCAGTCGATAAAATATAACCATGAGATCAATGGATTTGTCTAGATCAAAGCGAACGGGGAATGTTGGACACTTGTACATAATCCTAATAGATAGCTAAATTCGGGTGGATGGTTGAATGTAACAGTATTGATGTTTGAAGGCTCCAGCAAAAATGGGTGGATTTCGTGGTTACTGGTGTTTGATCAGCCTTAGCATTGAGTGTTTCCAGGTAATCGTTGGTAATCTCTCTCACCAGCCTAGGCCTGTCTTGCTTTGATTGATGAGTGTCTTTCCAAATGGAAGTTCCAATTTTTGGGATCTGGAATGGACAAGATGGAGCAATTGTTGGAATGCAGTATCTACTTGGAAAGGGAGCCGTAGGCAGTGGTGGCCTTTGTGCTGCTCTTCAAGCCGTTCTTTTATTAGACCCTAGTTATTGTGTTGCTGTATCCTTTTACATTTAATTCCTGGATAATCCATCCCGTTATTGGCATGGTGGTTGTTTTTCATCCCTGATCCTGTTCCAGCCTGCGATGGGTCTCGCCCAGCATTGGTACTTCCGCCGAACGGGGAGGAGGGGTATCGTCGCTTATGTTCATCGGTGGTTTGGTCGTACGTTCATCAGCCTGAGCCTGGCGAGCAGTTCTTTAATAAAATCTACGGTTGCGGTGAAATCTACAGTTATGGTGCGGCGCACCGGGCACCCACTCCAGCACAGCCAGAGTGGGTGTGCATTTTACTAGGTTACCTGCTTCTTGCCCATTCAGCAGCTATTTAACTTCTAGTGCCTTAGCATGGCGCTACTGCCGTGGCATTTGTGGTGTAGGTGGTCTAATAAAGTTAAGCAGGAGCTGAAGGACTGATATATAAACCTTAGGTCAACCTCCATGTATTTCTKCCACCTAGTTAAAGTAATACCATACCTCATCAGAGCATGTCCTAATTGACCATTTAATCCTCAATCTTCCACTTCCTTTTAACTGTCGCCAATACTCAGTGTATAACCATTAGGAGACTGGAGGTCAGGCTTCTACAGACTCACTTAAAACTACCACGAACCCGGGCGCTAGGATACAATGTATAACTATATAGGTTCACTCATCTGCGTATGCCATGTGTCTAGATAATGGCTCTATACGGTTAATGAGGCGACGTGGACGCGGAGGCAATGCTTTGCCGTTACCAGTACAATGTGGCTGCAATCTATCAGGGCAACACGCCGCTTCTCTATTCTAAAGCATATGTATCAACAGCAGTGGTCGATGTTCTGCTTGCTGTGGATCCTCCTCTATTAATTTTGAAAATAGAGGAGGGCATTCCGCTCTCTGCTGTGCGGCCTTATATGGGCATACACATATGGTTGAAAGATTGTTGCAGCATGATAAAATCCAAATTGACATTTCCAATTGCGATCATATCCCGACTCCGCTGGAGGTTGCAGTTATGAAGGGAAAAAAAAGCTGATTGTTCAACGACTCTTGAGCACCCGCCGGCTTAAACCCTAACCAGGTTGCGGAAAAAGGTGGTGTGGGTTGTGGAACGGGAGTCCATATGGTTTATCGATATATCATTGAAACACGCAAATAGTTTGGATTCCTTACTAGACATAATCCAGAAATCTACACCTTACCAGCAGCTCAATATCCGAGATAATGGCTGATACTCCTTCCTGCAGGCGAATATCAGCTGTCAACCGCCGTTGTCAGGTCAGGGGGGAGCGGGATTCGTTGCCTACCTTAGTTGATTGTACGCGGGCCCAAACACAAGGAGTCCAACCACCTGCTTTCCTATTTCTGCATAGGTGTCCGCTGCCTGCTGTGCATCGCCCACGCTCCAAGTGGTGGACCTGGAGCCGGTCTCCGCCGTGACCAGGGGGTGCTGGTTCGTTGATCAAGGCTTCGTGTCATGTAGTCCATGATCTCACTGGAGGCGTGGTTTCCTGCTTATCAACATGAATTTTTAGCGGTGTCAAAATTCCGATTGTATGTTAGCAGACTCACTGATCAAATCAATTCGGAAGGTGACATTAAAGAGGTTATAGGTGATGCTATCCTTCAGATTGTCCCCTTTATCCACAATCACGTTCAACCTAGTCAACACAGGCTTTGTCAACAATGAAGGGCTTATCACCATCGCTGCCCCATTATGGAAGCCGCATGTCTGATCAGAAAACCGCCAGCATAGTCGAATAGGTTCACCCTCTTTGATATACTGGGCGGTAGACCCTCCAACCTTTTGTACTCGCCACATGGGTAACTCTCCTGAGTCGGTAATGGCGGGCAGGACGACGCCCTGTTCGTTGCGGAAAATAGTGAGGTAGAGGTTCATCTTATCGTGGCAGCTTCGTAGTGCGACTAAACTGCCGTGCTTGAGCTGCACATTAGAGCAATTAGCTTTCTGAAACAGTACAGTATGAGGAGGCGATAATCAACATGTTGACCGTCGGGGACAATCATCTGCCACACGGCTTCCTGGTAGTCGGTAGCTGATAGGAATTCGATTTCTTCCGTCTTGTAAGGGTCAATCAAACGGTTTATGGGTGGGAGAACTCACGCTTGAGCTTGTCTTCGTACTGAAGCAGAACAGGAGCTTGGAACCTAGATCCACAAGTAAGTGCTTTGTTTCTCGGACGACTTTGCAAGAGACGATTTACCTTACGGGGGAGAACAAGGCGAATTGCTTTTGCACGTCAAGCTGGACTTGATTAGCTTACGTGACAAGAAGCCATGGAACGATCATTAACGAACCTGTGTGAACTCCCTAGTAAGATCTGTGACGAGCATTCCAAAGGATGCACCGCCGCCGAATTTGGTCTCAGTGACTTTTATTTCTCTACGTTTAAGACCCATGCGGATTGGATGGACGCCCTTGCCGAACTGATGACCTAGGTAATTGCAGATATGATGCTGCTTTTCTTTCGGGGTGTTGTTGTCGCCAACTTCCCGAGTGAATCCTGGGATGTCGGACTGGAGCTTCAACCGCACATCGAGGCAACGGGATGGAGGGATCGTCAAATACTGGGGCAGCTGAGGCACAGCAGCGAGGAACCATTGCTTGACATTAGCCATCTTGGCGTCATTGCAGTGACTAATGGCCGTCGCGAGCAAGGATGGCTCTGATCTTTCGATGACCCTCCAGTTATTGAACGGAAGCAAAGATGCACACCACATCACTGGATTGGCGGCGATAATAGTCTGCCCTCCCTTGGCCTCGAATGCAGACATATCACTGACATCGATTTCATTCCTGGCGTCTTCATTGTTCGAACCTGTCTGCTTGAGGCCTTTGCCGAACCACTGATGCCTGAGGGAGTGGACACTGCAAGACCGACCTGTGCTTTAAACTCCTCCTTCTGGCGGGACTCACTCGCAGTGTTTTTGCTGTCGGTGACTCTGGTGGTCTGCAGACTGCCTCCGACAGTGACTTCATGGCAAAAGATATGGGCGAACTCCGCCTGTAGCGCACGGAGGTCATTGATGTTCTTAGACCTGCGCACCTTGTCCACCGCACTGCGCAGGGCCTCTGTCGGTTCTAGGTCTTCGGGACGCAGGAATATAGTCGCCTGAGGGAACTTATACTCCGCGATTAACTTCTTTTCGAATATTGTTTCCGCCTTGGCCCCCCCCCCTCCGTAGTACTTGACTTGTTACCGCCGGTGACGCCGACGCTGAAACCCTTGAAGCCGCCGGATCTGTTTTTATTGAGAGGTATTAGCAAGAGACGTGGTGGAACCGGATAACGGAATTTATTTTGGAGGACTTACGCCTCGCTCTCGAAAGAGGTAGATGAGAAGCTATTTCGTGCCATCGATTCCTGGAGCTCATGGCTTACAAGAGAGACGGCGATCTTGGACTCATCATTCACCACAAAGGAAGGCAGTGCGTTAGCCTTTTTGGGAAGTTGGCTGACGATTTCCTTTGCCGGGGCCACCTTTGTGGAGGGTTCAATGGGACCCGCGGGAGTGGTAGGGCTTGTTTCCTGCGTCTGGTCTTTTTTCGCCTCTTGGTCCTCATACTTCGGGGCTGCAGATGGCTGTCCCTCGGTTGCCTTTGTCGTCAGGTCTGTCGTTTTTGCTGTGCTACTCTCCTTGGCTTGAGCAGCCGCTGGGGCATTTCCTGGCCTCTCCGCTGGTGTCTTCGAGGCTGCCGGAGTAGTTGAGTCCCTGTAGCGAGGGGAGGTACTGAGAAAGGGCTATCCATGTTGAGTCCAGCGCGGGGTTGAAATGTTACAAACATCCGAGGTCAGCTCTCCAGTCGTACCGAAAGTACCAGGATAGGGGTACAGAAAACACCTACCAGTTCGAGGAGCGGGTTTGACAATGTTCCTCTCCAGGTCAACCGTCCAACCATGCATTAGACCGCAGTTTCGGAGGACAGATTCCCATTGATTCTCGTCTAATTCGGACGCATGTCTTGACCCGGCCGTTGTCAGTCTCATCGCATCTCGCTCTTCTTAGTTTGTATGCAAGCTTACAGCATGGTCCCCGTCAGTGGCGCCGTCATCTTGAGAAGATTGGTGAGTTAATTATCTGTCAACCCCTGGGTTTTCAGGTCTGCTTTGCCTTTACCCTGAATGCTCTCCAATATCGACAGGTTATTCCAAGTCTATGAATGTGCTGAATTAGCCACGGTGACTTAGAGCTCCTATTTAAAGTCGATATAGACCCTAGAGTAGGTATAGACTCTACTAAGATAGGATGTAGACTTTAGGAGCAGACAGAAACTCTGCATATAGTAGATCTTATGGTCAGTCCTAATTAGTATGGGAGTCATGGACTCCGGGCACAACACTGTTACTACTTACTAGTGCGGGATTCAATGTGGTAACATAATGTATTTTCCTCATACCACGAAAAGATGAGGAAAGAACCCCCTAGCCACACATTTCCATTTCTAGCGGACTATGAGAGTAAAAAAACATAGCCTGAAATCGTTGATCTAAAATACTGAGGCGTTGACTAGAGTGAAAACATGAGGGAGAAAAGCATCATATAAAAAATATAAATTGTTGACACTCGTGATGGGAAGGCATGAGATATGTCCAGAGTATTATGATGATATGCAAGACTGTCTAAGCTATGTTGGCACTCGCGATGACTTCTGTGGGCAGCATAGCCAGGTTTACAAATATCTGCCTTGGTCACACACCAGCTGTATTAAACCAAGCTCTTAGCAGATCGATTCACAAATACATTATGTCCTCGTGCCAGGACTTCTGTAATTGATCGCGCCACCTATTCAACATTCCCTGAATTCAGACCCGCAATTGATATTCTCGAGTTCTCAGCCATGTAGATATGATACTCATCTAACCCAACTGTGTGAGCAAAACCTCATTCCACGCCATGGCTGACAGAAACGTACCTTTTAGGGTCTTTACAATGCTCGGGGGTAGTCCAAGGAAACCAAACATACCTGATTGTCGAAGGAGATGATCCCAGGTGGCTGGTGTTGCTGTATCAGTCATCTGACGTAGTTAGTACACCGAAACTTCAAATGTTGATATACGGAGTATAGGAGCGTACAACATGCAATCAAATGGTGATAGAGCAACTTCCTCATCGATTGTATCCAAGAGCTCATTCTTTTCAAATCCTCGAACCATACTTGTCGCAGCGTATCATCAACCAATATAGTCTCCACAATTCGCGCCCCGAATGCAGGGGGGTTGGAGATCTCCGAGCGCTGAATATATTCCAACACGGATTGGCAGTTAACGGCTATCTCCTGTGTTGTTGTAGCCAAGAGGAAGTAACCAACTCGTTCGCCTAAAACAGTCAGTGTCTAAGAAATAGTTCGTGGGGGGAGAACAACCATAAAGACCCATGTTCTTCGCAAATGAAAGACAGACCGCCACCTCCAAGCATAATTCATTGACAAAAACCCGAATTGGAAACGCATCCTTGTCGAAATCACCCGAGTTGAACCCTAAATACGCAGAGTCAAACAAGGGGAACAAGTTTCGGTCTTTCATTATGGTCCCAATATCTTTCCATTGCTCCGGACTGGGGTCAAGCCCTGTAGGATTATGAGCGCAGGCGTGTAGGAGGACGACCGAGCCTGGTTCAGCCGCGCGGAGTGTCGACAGGTATAAATCCATATCAAGACACTTGGTTGCGTCGTCATAGTACTGAAAATTCGATATCCCTACTAGATGGCATTCGATATTGATTCGATATCGATACTAGATGACATTCGATATTGATACTAGATGGCATTTAATATTGATTTAATATCCCTACTAGATGACATTCAATATCGATTCAATACTAGATGATATTCAATATCTTATGGTGCAGAGATATAAGGGAATAATTATCTCTATTAGTGATTAGTATAAAAGTAATAGTAATATATATATAAATCTATATTAACCTTTTAATAACTACTATAATTTAGGAATAATTCTAAACTACTACCTATTCAACCCCCTTGATATTAAATTAATATTTTAGATATAAATTAAAATAACTATAATTACTATATATTTGATATAAAAATATTCATTTTCTATAAGTATACTGGATAGCAGGTGGTATGTGTGGTAGCAGCAGCATTAGTGTAGTGGGAGGTAATCATAGTAAAAAAACATTTTAGCTGGTTTTGTACATTTAGTCTGCTGTAGCTTAGACTGCGGACTAGTGCCCGCGTTGCCGCATAAGACTCAGCCGCAATGTAGCAGGGGTAGACTGGCTGTGGGGTGGATATGGGTTGATCCATAAGGGGTTTAACCTAACCTATATGGGTTTAGGGAAACCTATAACCTTAGTTATCTACCTTCTAATCTATATAGGTTAGATTATAGGTAATCTTTTTTACCTATAAATAGTATATAATTTTAAACTATACTACTTCTAGTAGATGGAATAATCTCCTATTAAGAGAATATTATAGATATTATAGATAAACTATAACTTAAAAACTTATTAATCTTATTACTAATATATACTAATAACCTATTAACTCCTATACTACTATACTATAATTACTACTATACTAGTTTCTACTACTATACTAAATATTAGGGCTTCTTAGTATAAATCTTATTATTATTAATATAATCTAAAAGGTATTTACTTTATATATAAAAATTTTATTATAATATATAACTTAATTAGTATACTATAATCTTTTATTAAGAGATTATTATATATAAGCTGCTTAGGAGTTATAAATTTATAAGTTATAAGTATAATTATATAAGCTAGTAGATTAGTATTTCTCTAAATACTAAGATCTAGTAGTATAGGGTAGAAATAAGAGAATCTATACCTTATTAGAAACTAAGTAGTTTAGTATTAAATATATATACTTTTCCTAGTAAACTTATTACTTATATAAATAATATAGTTCCCTATAGTATTTTATAGCCTAGATAATACCTAAATATCCCTAGGAATTTAATAAGCAGGATATATCTAGCCTATTTATAGAGATATTACTAAGGGATAGAAAAAATACACTACTCTCTATACTTATATAATAATAATAATTAGTCTAGTAGTATAGGCTTAATTTTTATTATTTAGAAGACTTATATTTAATCTACTAATAACTTCTTTTTATCTACTTATTTAATAAAAAATAATTTTTAATTTAATATTCTATCTAAATAATATAATTAATATACCTTAAAAGAAGAAAGTATTATACTATATAAGRATAGCTTCYCTYTAGATTATATAAATTCTAGATAATATATAGATAAAAATATTATATTTTACTGTTATTAAGAGATAATAAAGATATATATAAATAATATATATAAATAGCCTAATAATATAATGCCTTTGTAAACTAGAGCTATTCTAAATTAAAATAATATAAACTAATAAAGGCTATATTAAGAATCTCCTAATAAGAGATCTAAATTACTTAATATATTTTATATAAAGAATATAGTATACTTAGTATATAAAATATTTATAGTAGTATCTAATAATAGTATCTATATAAAACTCTTAATAAGAGAATGCTTACTAAGTAACTATATTATATTATAGTTATATAACTTATTAAATATTAAACTTTCTTTATTTATTCACCTATTGTCCTATTTAAATTAATTAAGTATAATATAAAGAAAAGCTAATTCTATTTAAGAATATTTACTATTAAATACTATTAATAAGAAGATTATATAGTAGTAGTATTAAATTATTAATAAAAATACTTTTTAGCCTTATAGAACCTCTTCTTCTTTATATTCTTTAATTTTATAAAATTATAATTTTTTTAATCTCTTAATTAATTATAGTATTTAATTATTATATTCCCCTTTTTCTTATTACTAAGTTCTCTTATTACTAGAATCTTATTTAATCTCTTATTAAGAGAATTAAATTATTAATATATTACCTAAGAAGAAAAAGAGAAAGGGAAAGACTACTATATAAATATTAGGCCTATTAATTTTAGAAGTAGAGATTAGTAAAGATAAAATTATAAGAAAGTTAGATAAGTACTTCTTAGGTATAATTATTTTTAATATTTATTATCTAAACCTAGTCTAGAAGAAGGGCAGTAATAGGAGTCTAAATTAAAAATATATAAAGTATCTAAAGGAAGAGTTTATAACTAATATCTATAGATATATAATTAAGGATAGACTATAGGTAATACTAAGTAAAGATAATTTTAATATCTATCTAAAGTAGATTTTTTAGTAATATAATAATAATAAAGATCTAACTACTATAGAGCTTAAGGATCTGTAGAAGTAGTCTAAATTATAGATTATAGAACTTTTAGAGGTTAAATATAAAGTCTCTAATATATCTTTACTAATCTTATAAACTAGATAGTATTACTAAGAGGCCCTTCTTAATCTATACTATAATATTATTAATATAGCCCTCTAGGGTAATATTAATTAGAATAAGAACTTTATTAAAGTACTAGATAGTAGAGTAAGTAATCTCTTAATAAAAGATTTTAGATTAAATTAGAGCTAACTTAGGATAGGAATTTTTATAAATTTATAATATTTAGGATAAAGATTCCCTTAATAAAGACTATCTCTAGAGACTCTAGGTAAATAGAGAGATTATATATAAGATAAATATTAATAGTAAATTAATATATATTATTATTAATACTATTAATAGTCTCCCCTCTAATTATAAAGTATATAAGCTCTAATTAAAGTCCTTTAAAAAATAGGCTAGCTCTATTTTTAATATTAATAGAGAAAATATATCTTAGCTACTATCTCTTCTCTAATATTTAAAGTTTTATAAATAAGTAAAATTTTATATAAGCACCTGCTATAGCTAGTATTATATTAATCTAGATTATTTAAAAATATTAATATCTCTAAAGCTTAATTTTATAAGTAAGAGTTAAAGATTTTATTAATAAATATTAATTCTCTTAATATTAGATTTATCTCTCCTTCTTTAACTAGTTCTAGAGGTACTGCCTTGCTATCTTTAGTAATATAACTATATTAGTAAGTCTTAAAGATTAGGATAGAGTTA